GAAGGAAGGAAGGAAGGAAGGGAGGAAGGAAGGAAGGGAGGGAGGAAGGAAGGAAGAAGGAAAGAAGGAAGGAAGGGAGGGAGGAAGGAAGGAAGAAAGGAAGAAGGAAAGAAAGAAAGAAAATCACACATTTCCAGTCCTCTCCCAGCTCCTCAGCCCAGGCACTTCCCTGAAGAGACACCACTGTTGTCATCTGGTTTGTACTCTCCAGAGTGTTCTGTCTTTCTAGACATTACATGTTCTTATAGAAATCTTTTCTTCCCTTATAATCCTCAGATATACCTTATTCTGCTTTCATCTCTTCAGTGTAAGTCAGTGAGAGCTCCCCATGTCAGTACACAGAATGTGAACTGCTGTACAGCATTAACACGTGATCTAACAGAGTTTATTTAACAATCTCTTATTGATGGGTGCTTAGTTGCTGTCAATATTTCACTGTTACACAAAGTGACAGTGAAATCCTTATTAGCATGTTTGCTTAGTGCTCACATGGGAATGTTCCCTTAGGGTGGACCCTAGAAGTGAAATGAAAGGAAATGACACTAAAATAAACATGTTGGGGCCTGGAGTATTTCTGTGGAAATATTGCTTTAATTTTATTGAGATATAACTTATATAAGAAAAATTAAGGGTTGGATTAGCTTTAGCATATATATCACAGCTTCAGGACCGTTTCCCTACCCCAGGAAGCTCCCTCATTCAGCTTCCCTGTCAGTCTGCTCCCCGGAGCGGCCACTGCTATGGTTTCTAGTACCAGGCATTCATTTTGTCTACTCGAGAATTTGATGGAAGTTGAAGCAGACAGCACGTACTTGTGTGTCTAGCTTCTTTCGCTCAGCATAATGTTTTGAAGTCCTTCCATATTGTGGCGTATATCACTAGCCTGCCCTGTCGTTGCTGAGTGGTGCTGCGTCATATAGATACACCACATTTGTTGATCCCTTCATCTATTTATGGACACCTGGGCTGTTTCCAGTTTGGGGCTATTATTAAGAAATGCTATGAACATTTTATACAAGATTTTCAGTGGGCATGTTTTCATTCGCCCCTGGGTAAATACCTAGGAGAGAAATTCCTGGGTCATAAAGTAGACGCATATTTAATGTTTGAAGAAATATCCACACCACACAGTTTTCTCAAGAGGATGAACCATGTTATTCTCACCAGCAAAGCAGAAGACTTGTGGTTGCTCAGTTCATCAATTTTTAATTTTAACAGATGATGCAGATATAACCTCCCAAACTGCTGTAACCTACAGTTTATAAGAGCACCTGGTATCCAACATTCTGAGGTCTGATGTTACCAGTATTTTAAAATTTTGTTTATCTGGGGGCGCCTGGGTGGCTCAGTTGTTGAGCGTCTGCCTTCGGCTCAGGTCATGATCCCAGGGTCCTGGGATCGAGCCCCGCACTGGGCTCCCTGCTCCGCGGGAAGCCTGCTTCTCCCTCTCCCGCTCCCCCTGCTTGTGTTCCCTCTCTCGCTGTGTCTCTCTCTGTCAAATAAATAAAATCTTTAAAAATAAATAAAAAAATAAAATTTTGTTTATCTGTAAGGTGAAAATGATGTCTCATTATAATTTGCATTTTGTTTTCCTTCTCACTAGTGAAGTCAAACATTTAAAAAATATTTACTGGCCCGTTTTGTTTCTTATTCTGTGAGCTACCTCACCTGTTCAAAGCTTTGCCGATTTTTCTACTGAGTTGTTTATACTTTTCTTACAGACTTATAGGAATACTGTTATTCTGTCCCTTTGTTCTGCATGTTACAAATATCATCTCCTGGGGCGCCTGGGTGGCTCAGTCAATTAAGTGTCTGACTCTTGATTTCGGCTTAGGTCGTGATCTCTGGGATGCGAGATCGAGCCCCTTGTCGGGCTCCGTGCTGAGCACAGAGCCTGCTTAAGATTCTCTCTCTCTCCCTCTCCTTCTGCCACTCCCCCACTTGCCGTCACATGTACTCTCTCTCTCTCAAAAGAAAAAATTAAAAAAAAAATCACCTCCTAGCCTACTGGTTTTATTTTTGCTTTTTAAATAATTGCATTTTGTCATACAGAAGTTTTAATTTTGATGCAGCAAACTTAATCAAGCTTATCTTTTTTTTTAAAAGATTTTATTTATTTATTTGAGAGAGAGAATGAGAGAGAGAGCATGAGAGGGAAGAGGGTCAGAGGGAGAAGCAGACTCCCTGCTGAGCAGGGAGCCCGATGCGGGACTCGATCCCGGGACTCCAGGTGACCTGAGCCGAAGGCAGTCGCTTAACCAACTGAGCCACCCAGGCGCCCAATCAAGCTTATCTTTTATAGCTCATACGTTCTGTAGAAGTTCTTTCAAATCTAAAGGTTGTGGATATTTTGTACTATATCTTATTCAAATAATTGAATATTTATTTTTATGTTTAGGTAATGAACTCATCTGGATTTTTTTTTGTGAATGGTATCAGATGGAGAGCCAAAATTCCTATTCCCTTACTTGATTGGTCAATTTCTTTCTGGCACTTTCTTTAAATGCCTCCTTTATTCCATATTAGATTTTCCTATAGACAAAATCTGCATCAGGACTGTATCGCACTCCACTGAATTTGTATTCCTATGCCAATGTAGTCCTGCTTTATTGATTATAGTTTTAGGATATGTGTCTGTATCTGGTAGGGAAAGCTTTCTTACTCTTTTTATTTTTCAAAAAATCCATCTGGTTTTTTGTTTTTTGTTGTTGTTGTTTTGTTTTGTTTTTGCCCGTCTCAGCTTCCTCATGAGTTTCATGACAAGTTTGTCAAGTTCCATGAAATAATAAGGAAAAAATGGCTGTGAGTTTTATGGGAATCTTCTGTACTACCTTCTTAATTTTTCTGTAAAGTTAAAATGATTCTAAAAAATATCTATTTAAAAATGAAGGAAAGAAGGAAGGAAGGAAGAGAGAAGAGAAAGGAAAGAAAGGAAAGAAAGGAAGAAAGAAAGAAAGAAAGAAAGAAAGAAAGAAAGAAAGAAAGAAAGAAAGAAAGAAAGAAAGAAAGAAAGAAAAAGACAGACCAGTTGTGGCTGGGACCGAGGAAGAAAGGGGATATATGACGTGAGATGAATTTTGAAAAATGAGTAGGGGCCTTGTAATGGAGGACTTATTGGACACAACAAGACTTTTTCTTTCTTTATCTGAAGAGCAATGAAAAACCTATAAAATATTTTACACAGGGGACAAACGTATCTTGCTTTGTGTTTCAGAGAGTTCTATTTGGCTGCAATTTGTAGAAAGGATTTTGCATTCTAGAGTGAATGCAAGTAGACCAGGTAACAGATATTGGTAGCTTGGGCCAGGATGGTAATGGTGTAGACAGATTTATGAGAAATAGAGAATATATAATCAATAGAACTTGATAAATTGGTGTTCTTTTTGCCTTCTTTCTTTCTTTCTTAATCAGAGTTGCCAAAGACTTGTCTTTTTATTTTATTGGTTTTTTCTGTGAGTCAGCTTTTGATATTATCGATCAACTTTACCACTGTTTCTAACTCATAAATTTCCACTTTTTTCTTTATTAATTCCCTTAACCGCCACACAATATTACCTTTGGCTGATGGTCTATTCGATAGCAAGTCTGCTGGAATTGGCGTATCTCTCTGATGATGTGTGATATCTGAGAGAAACAATAACAACAAAAGCAAAGCAAAAGTATTTCCTTGTATTGCAACACATTCTTCCAGGCCCTATGCACAAGTCATCAGGCACTTTCTCCAGCAAAGTGCCAGAGCCCAGCCCTATCATTTTCTATGCCCAGCCAGGGCTTTCTTGTCCTTCAATGAGCCACATGAAATGCAAAGGGCAAGAAGATACTGACTTCACAATCAGGGGAACAGTTGGCCTGGGTGACCTCGGGTCCAGCAAAGGCAAGCTCTGGGTGTTACTGTCCTTGGGCTCCTTGTTCTAACTTGGTGCTCTGAACCCCGTTGTCCAGCAAGAAGCCTTCAGCATCTGTCCGTCACTGTTCCATCTCAGAAAGTCATCCCTGGAGCTTCATTCCCCACCCCTTTGCCCAGACCGCATGCAAGCTGCAATACCCCTGCTGAAAATCGCTTCAATCAGCCACAGCAGATATGAAACCCAGTGTCCCCCATCTCTTCCATCTCAAAATGAAAAAGCCAACAGTGAGCTCCGTGACTTAGCCCTTCTCTTTAAACCATTGCAGTCACTGAAACAGGCTGATGATGAAAGGACGACCTACCATTCTCATCTTGGAGAAATTAACAAGGCCTTCCTCGGTAAAGTTTGGTGTTCCCTCTTCAATAAACGCCAGGTCCGTCAGGTACATCCCCAGATAAGGAACAGCTGGGGGGTTACAGCTGCAAAACCAAGAGACACTGTTCTCAAGCGCACTCACGCAAATAGAGACTCCCTTCCCGTCTTTCACGGGAAGCAACTGTGTGGCTTCGATCCTGAAGAATAAAGCCTTTTAATTCCGTCTGCACAAGCACACTCATGATATTAAGAGTTTTCAATACATCTCACAACAGATTAGAAGAGCAAATCACAGCCTTATGTTTTACATGTGCTTGGGACGACGGCGTGTTCGAGCAACAGGCTGCCTTACAGACGAAGACAGAGTCTGTGCCAGCAGCACTCGTCCGCAGTACTTGTAAACCGGCCGCACTTTCCCGGGAGTAAGAGCATGGAGGAAGCTCCAAGAACTGGGGGGAAAAATCAAGGTGATTAGAGCCCGTAAAGCTTGTATCCTGCTTTCGTTAGGATTTCAATGTTTTAGAAGGTACAGACCTAATGAATATCACCTCTGCATTCTAAAGTGATGGTTTCTTTGTTTTTGTTTTGTGAGGGGCGTACCTTGGTCTTCTCAGAGTCAAGAGTGAGGAGGACATGGGCTTTTGAGCCAGAGAGAATTAACTGGGTCTGAGTCCCAGCATGACCACTTGCTAAGGGATGCTGGGCAAACTCTGCGAACCACAGTCTCCTCGTAGTGCTTAGATTAATAAATACCAAATCAAGAAACTTTTTATAGTAGAAGATGGTTTGATTTTAGAGTAAAAGACGATGATATTTTCTTCTTATTTGGGGTAGTCTGCATGCCACCGGTATGTCCACAAGACACTTACTGTATATGCACAGCCTTTCAAATGTAAAGAAAAATCAGGAAAATACCTAGATGTGGAAGTTCTTCCCCATTTGTTTTTCCTTTCAAAGCAAAGTAGGAGGTAGGCCACTATTTGTATACTGTATATATTTTAAAAATACATTTCTGAATTATGAATAACTTAATGATTAAGATAAACATACTTTTTAAGGGTTTCTCTGAGATTTTTAAATCTTCCTTCAGATGAAACAGTCTTCTGAAGCTTGTCCATGAGAGCTTTCGTCTGGAAAGAAACAAACAACTTAGCCTGTCATGAAAATACTCCTATGGTTTGACAAGATGGGTGAGTTACCAAGAGATCCTCACTTCCCTTCCATAGTGGCAGGTGCTGATACCTTTGTCAGACTGTTGTGATATGATTTTCAAAGTACAGACCGAATTTGATGTTAAAAAAAAAAAAACAAAAACATGTGGAGAAGAGTGACTATACTGCTCATTTAGCCAAAAAGAGGAAAATGTGTAGAAAAGAAAAAGTGCAATGCACGAGAAATTAGGGACTTAAAGAATTGAAAAAGCACATGTTGACTTAGGGAATCTTAAATGGGAGGTCTCATGTCAGGTGGTTTTCACGGTGAATCTTTTTGGGTGTTAATTTCCAAATCATCAAGACACAGATTTGGTTGCTTGGCTGTCTTCTGCTACAAAGCCTTTGTTTTGTGACCAACTTCCTCAACTTGTTAGAAAAGTATAACTGACATTTACCAAGAGATAAAACTGTTGTTGACATTGATCTGGAGTTTCTCACATGGACATGGGAGAATGGTAGGGCAGCCCTTGGGGATGATGACCCACTCCTAGTAATACCCATGCCCGGGCAGACTGGCAGGGAAAAGCACTTGGAATGCCCGGGTTGCAACTCCTCAGACTACTCTGTCTCAATCCGGAAAGGAGCTGCATGCTTCATGAGAGCTTTCAGAATGACTCAAAGGGCTGCCTTCCCCAACCTGGTTCCTGAGGACTCAGAAAGAAGATAGCCAGCAAGGCCTGGGCAGGGGCGGTGGGGTCGGGGGATGGGATGGGGCCGGGTGGGCCCCCTGCCTGGCCCAGAGCTGGCCTTGGGCTGAAAGAAGTTGCACAAATGTAGTCTATCCTATAGCCACAGATCTAATTTGGTGGGCTCCCAACTGTACATTCTACCAGGCCTTCTGGATGTCTCCCAGCCTGGACTCAGACCTGAAGAAGAGACAGCTACAGAGCATATGGGGTGATGAAGAGCCTGAAGCAGGGCATATCTGTAACCAGGCACTACCTACTGTGACTAGACCGAAGTCCTGGGCCTGGGACGATAGACCATTGCCCGTTCTAAAGCCACTTTGAGTGACACATACATGTGATTGAAATGGTATATTCTACTTAATGCCTCTACAGGTAGTATATTCAAATTTGAAAAAAATATTTTAATATCAGTCTTATCACCCCTATTCTATAGTCAGTTACCCCTAAAGCCTCATCCTGAAAAGACATGGGTATCACTTAAGTCAACTACAGGGAAGGCCTAACGTTTTTTCTTTGTTTTTCCTCAAGTTTTTATTTAAATTCCAGTTAGTTGACATACAATGTAATATCAGTCTCAGGTGTAGAATTCAGTGATTCATCACTTACATACAATACCCGGTGCTCATCACACCGAGTAACCTCCTTAATGCTCATCACCTCTTTAACCTATCCCCTCCCCCGCCACCCCACCCCCAGCCCACCTCCCCTCCAGTAACCCTCAGTTTGTTCTCTATAGTTAAAAGTCTGTTTCCTGGTTTGCTTCTTTTTTTTCCCCCACAATGTTCATCTATTTTGCTTCTTAAATTCCACAAATGAATGGAATCATATGGTATTTGTCTTTCTCTGACTGACTTATTTTGCTTGGCATAACATTCTCTAGCTCCATCCACGTCATTGCAAATGGCAAGATTTCTTTCTTTTTTATGGCTAATATTCCGTGTGTGTGTGTGTATGTGTGTGTGTGTGTGTGTGTGTGTGTATACATCCTGCATCTTCTTCTTTTATCCATTCATCAGTCAATGGACATTGGGCTCTTTCCATTGGGCTATTGTTGATAATGCTGCTGTAACCATCAGGGTACATGTGTCCCTTTGAATGGGTATTTTTGTATCCTTTGGGTAAATACCTAGTAGTGCAATTGCTGGATCATAGGCCTAGTGTTTTCTTAAAGAAGATTTAAGAATCCCTTGGTACCAACCTCAGATGAAAAGGGAAATAGGGGAAGGAAAATGAAAGAGAAGGCAGAGGACTGACTTACTGACCTTGATGAAGTGTGACAATGTGTGTGGCAGGATAATACGCTCTTTGTATCCAATGTCCAGTGGCTAAGGCTACCATTGCCTTAGGAGGAGGCAAAAGCAAGCCACAACAAGGGCGTCACTGTCCAGTTTTTAGATTCTGATATAGCTGTTTGAAGCCCATTTTAAAAACAGTATTCTAACACCTATTCATCATAAAAGCTATCAAAAAACTAGGAAGAGAGAGTAGTTTCCTCAATTTTATAAAAGCATCTACAAAATACCTGTAGCTAGCACTATCCTTAATGGTAAAAGACGGAATGCTTTCCCCACAAGATTGAGAACAAGGGAAGAACGTCCTTTCTCACCACCTTTATTCAACATAGTATTGGAAATTTAGCTAGAGCAAAAACGCAAGAAAAGGAAATAAAAGGTGTGTGAATTATGGGGCGCCTGGGTGGCTCAGTCGTTGGGCGTCTGCCTTCGGCTCAGGTCATGATCCCAGGGTCCTGGGATCGAGCCCCACATCAGGCTCCCTGCTTGATGGGAAGCCTGCTTCTCCCTCTCCCACTCCCCCTGCTTGTGTTCCCTCTCTCGGTGTGTCTCTCTCTGTCAAATAAATAAATAAAATATTTTTAAAAAAGGTGTATGAATTAGAAAGAAAGTACTAAGATAGTTCCTATTTATAAGTGACAATTGTCTGTGTAGAAACCCCAGGGAGTCTACAAAAAAAAAGCTCCTAGAACTGATCAGTGAGTTCAGCAAGTCTGCAGATAGAAGACCAACACAATAAAAATCAATGACATTTGTACAGACTAACAATGAATGTGTGGAAACCAAAATCGAAACCACAGTAACATTTAAAATTTGTCCAAAGAAAATGAAATATTTGGGCATAAATCTAAAAAATTTACACAGGACTTGTATTTTGAAAATTTCAAAATGCTGATTTAAGAAAGCCTAAAGAAATGGAGAGACAGACTGTGTTTGTGGACTAGAAGACTCGACAGAGTAAAGATGTCAGTTCTCCTCAAATTGACTGGTTTAATGAAATTCCAATAAAAATGTCAGTAAAGTTTTTTTAGACATAATTTTTTTACTAAAATGTATACGGAAAGTCACAGCACCTAGAGTAGCTAAAATAATTTTACAATAAAGTGGGAGGGATATAGAAAGAACTCTCAGATCTCAAAGGTAAAAAAAAAAATCCAGTCAAAAAATGAGCTGCAGACATTTCATTAAAGAGGATAAACAGATGGCAAACCAGCATATGAAAAGATATTTAACACCATTAGCCATTAGGAAAATGCAAATTAAAACAATAATGAGATATCAAAATGGCTAGAAAAAAAGTGATAACACCAAATGCAGGCAGGAATTTGGAAAAACCGTTCGTTCATACTTTGCTGATACAAGTATAAAACGGTACAGCCACTCTGGAAACGAATTCGACAGTTTCTTATTAAACTAAACGAGCAATTGCTATGTGATCTAGCATTTGCACTCTTGGGCATTTATCCCAGAGAAAAGAAAACTTACAGTCACACAAAACCTGTACGTGAATATGCACAGCAGCTTTATTTGTAACAGCCCCAAACTGAAAACAACCCAGATGTTCTTCAAGGGGTGAATGGTGAACGGTCCTCTATTTATACCATGAGTATTACTTAGCAATAAAAAGAAACAAAGTATTGATACATGAATGGATCTCAAGGGAATTTTTAAAAGGGCAATCTCAAAATGTCATCTACCATATGATTCCATTTATATAATGTCCTTGAAATGACGAAATTTTATAGAGATGGGAAACAGGTTTTTGGTTGCCAGAGTTAGGGAGTGGGCAGGGAGGAAGCAGCTACGGCTATGAAAAGCGTGGCAGGAGGGATCCTGGTCATAGCACTGTGTTGTAGCTTGACTGCAGGGGTAATGAAAGTGCATAAAAGTAAATACACGCAGGCCCAGATGAGCATATATGTAAAACAGATCATCTGAATAAGGTTAGCGGATGTTACCAATGTTAACTTTGTGGTTGGGATATGTTTTCAGTTACACCAGAGGTTACACTGGGGGGCACCAGGTGTAGGGTGCAGGGGATTTCTATTATTTCTTCCAACCTGTACGTGAACCTACATGATCTCAACATAAAAAGTGTTTTGTTTTTTTTTTTTTAAACAGTACTTAAAAAAGCTGTGGCTTTTGTTTGCAAGGTCCAGGCTTTGATCACAGACAAAAGAATTTGCCTCTGGCACCAGGAGGACTTGGAGGAGTCTGGAAAATCCCCCCACCGCCCTTTAAGAGGGCCAGGGTAGTTAATCTACTAATGAAGAGTTAGCCTGCCCACCAGGGATCACGAAGGACAGGGCAGCCTGTAGGAGAGGGGCCAGTGGGAGCCAACGAGGGCTGAAGCGGGGGTGAGGTCAGCTAAGCCCCCCTGTTCCTGGGCAGGCCGGGCAGACCACACATACACCACACACGGGCAATTCACGGTGGCCTGCACCTGGGGACCAACTAGCAGAAGACCGCAACAGGAGACCAGCGGGTGCACACGGCCTCCCAGAAGCCCAGAGGAGCCCTCTGCAACACCCACCCACACCAGGGGAGAAGGCCAGGAGAACGGGCAGCGGGGAGATTTGATTTCATTTGAATCTTGAAAATATGGAATGAAAATGATAGGCATGAACAAGCTGAGTCCAGTTAAAAGAAAATTGTGAAAGTTTCCGGCACACCTAAGTCTTTATGCCAAAAGGTTATTACATAGATGACAAAAAAAAAAAAAAAGCGAAAGTTGAAGCCCTAGGGCATTTATACGCTTACTTTGGGGAGAAAGAACTGGTCCGTGAGACACTGCTGTGTTCACTTGGAATCAACGTGCCTTCTCTAAATAATTTAGGAAACAACTCCTGACTGTCAACCGCACCGTCTGAAGTTGGCCCCGAATATGTTGTAATGAATGCTATGGGGTCGTGTTTGCTTTTCTTAAACTAACCAATTAGAAGTGCGCACGAGTGGAATCAATTAAGTGGTAAGAGCGCAGTAATTACCCACATTGGCACCTTTCTTTGGCAACTGAGCTGCTCGATTCAGTTAATTATTTCCTAATGAGTAATATTTCATCTGGGCTCTGGTCTCCCGGCTTGTGCTCTCAGCAGCGGGCTGTGTGGCACACTGCTGCTCACCTGCTTGGACACCTTGGCCCAGGTTTTCTTCAGCCTGTAGATGGCACTTCTGTTTAAGGCTGAGGTGATCTCCAGGACGCCATTGTAGTTGTGCAGGCATCGGCAAATGTCCGCCACGGCCACCCACTTCTCTATCGCGACGGTGCGGGAGCTGACATCGGCATAATTCATTATCTGGGACGCCACCAGGTTACTCATCTGAGACAACGGAAAAGCCAAGAGAGGCCAGCTAAGAGCCAAAGAAACGCATTCAGGCACAGCGCCTGGATCCCCCATAGAAATGTCGGGAAAGTAGGGTGCCGAGGGACATGGAGATCAAAGTCCACATTCAGAGACCAACCTTCCGAAAAGACTACAGTGTGTAGTAATAATAATAGCAACAAGAAACCAATGGGAACCTGTTCATCCTCACAGTGAACAGAGGGATTGTTTGGAATCAATGTGTTGAGGGAACGGGTCATTTTTTTTTTAATCAGCGTAATTTTGATGAAGGAGTTATTTCCAGTAACTATTGAGGAAATGGAAAAGAATGAGCTAATTCCTGAAGAAGGGCAACCTTTGCTGATGATGGGTTTCACTCCTTGGGGCCTCTCCACATGCTCCTTCGCCCCTGACAGGTGGGGGACCAGGAAGCCCCAGGTACCACAGAAAAAGAAAAGACATTTACCCCCAATCAAATCAAACTCTAACCTGATCAGCCCTCAAGCCGGACACATTTAGGGACAGGGGAGGAGAGAACATTTATTCCTTCTTATCTCGCTGGGTTTTTTCCCACCAGAGTGAACAGGACCTATAGTGTTTCAAGGGTAAGTACTGTAATGCTATTAGTTGAAACCAAGAGAAAAAGAGGCAGTTGGCGCAGCTCAACGCTTAGAATATAGAAAGGAAAGGACAGTTTAGGATTGATTACTAACGAAGGGAATGCAAGGTCTGTAATCTTACATCCATACGCTCAATCTGGTGAGTGCACCGATTCTCTGACTATTCCACAGGTATTTTAGATCTCACAGTGTCTCAGAATTATCATTGTACACAGTCATTAAAAAATTACTTTGTACTGAGCACCCAGAATGGACGTGGCATTCATTTAGGTTGTAAGAACAGGAAAAAACAAATAACTCAGCATCCCTGACCTCAAGGCACTGAGCCTAGTTAGGCAGAAAGGTGAAGGGAGGCAGAGACAAACAAGTAAATATCACATAGTGAAAGGCAAAGCTAAGTCTGTATGGAGGGGTTTGAGGACACGGAGGTAGCAGGGGGTTATCTGGCCTAGTAGAGAAGAGGCTTCCAGAAAGAGGTCATCCTGCTGCGAGTCCTAAAGGATGAGAAGGAGTTAGCCACTGCTTTCCATCAAAGGAGGAGAACATTTGAAAAGGGACAGAGGTAGAAGGCCTGGTGTAACAGAGGCTCTGGCAGTCATCTGAGGAGCCCAGGGAAGCCACGAGAGAGACACCGATGCCCAGTAGGCAGGGCTCTTGTAGGCCACGTTGAGCAGCGGGGACTGGATCTTGAAGGTGAGAGGAAGCCGCTGACAGAACTTTGTCACGAAAGGGATATAATTAGATTGGTCTTTCAGAAAAGTTATTTCTGTGACAACTGTGTAAAGAATGGGTTTGGGGGCAAGGAGAGGACAGTGGGGGTAGTGACGTAGGAGCTCCCCGAGAAAAGGATGAAAGGTCGAATTAGGGTTATGGCAGGAGGAAAGTAGGGGGGAAGGTCTGGGACATAGGTAGATTTATACATGGGGGAGTGAGGTGGGGTGGGTGACGGACGAGTCAGAGACGACCTCCAGAGTCTGGGTTTGGGTGAGCGAGCGTGCGGTCTGGGCCACTCCGCAAGACTAAGGACAGAGCGTAAGATGAAGGAGGCTTGGCAGGTCTGGGGAGTACGAACGATAAGAAACTCCGCTTGCGATCTGTTGAAGAACTCACAGTGCAAGCCGCCAGCCAAGTGGAGATGTGACGGTCTGGAACCTGGGATGGAACTGCTCATTGGCTTGTTCATTATACCCAAGTGTGTGCATGGCACAGATAACAGAGGCTGATTTTCTGCAGCAGGGGCTCTGCTTCTCAGAGAGTAGCCTAGAGAGGTCATGTGGCCTGTCCTCTACGGTGGCATGGATGTTCCTCATGTGATAACCTTCACTGAGTATATACGTACTCTGCAGGTACCCTGCACAAAGCACTGTCTTGGGAATCTACACTGTGGTTTTGTATTGTGAGGCTGAATGACTTATTAATTTACCTACAGCGAACCTCAGAGTCTTTTTTTTTTCTTTTCTAACATCATCATTATTCCTTTTATTGTCTTTTCGTAGAACTGCCTAGATAGGCCTGAAGATGCTCCCACATATGTGGTTCCGCCAAAGGATGAAAATCATTAGAACAAAACCAATTAGGAGTTGGTGGGTATAAAGGCAACTCCGTCTTACTGCTGGAGAAAAGCAGAGCAGGGAGATGGACCAACAGCTGGTCACCATTGTGCACAGCTGTGGTAACACTGTAATCATGCTCAAAGGGGTCCCTTCCAACCCTGGAATGCATACGCACTGAATGTTCAGTAATAATGAGGATGATTTGTACCAACCCAAACTTACTGTCACCAGCACCACCGGGACCAGTGACACATGTGCTATTACAACTCGTCAATGTATGACCACGAAGTAATGATGATTATGATAACAATAATAGCCACAATCTATGCATTATTGAGGACTTACCAGACTTGGGTACCATCAGAAGTGAATCTCTTATGTCTGGAAGTTAACTGGAAGTTATTACATCACTGTGAGCTCTTAGAGAAGATTTAAGCTTTTTTTTTTTTTTAAACCTTTCATCAGTTTTGTTTAAAAAGTGGGGGGCACACTTGCTTTATTTTAGAGAAGGAGTCTTAAGACCCTGATACTCAGCTCCCTATAACATGCCCAGGTTTTATTTTTAGGGTTACTCACATCATTGAAGTGTTGGCTGGTTTTCATAATGTAAGGTGTTCTTTCATTTTTATCCAGCTTCATCCACCCCTGCCCAAGAAATTCTCTGTAAGTTTAAAACAGAACAGAAAACCAATTAAGTTTTTAAAATTGTGTCTATGATCCTGAACAATGAGTATGAATATTATTTGCATTAAATTTGACCATCTCAAATGAATTTTGGCTCATCTCCAGTATTTTGCCACTCGATGCCAAAAAGAAAAAGATTTTTCAACTTCCACCTTTCTCTTATAAATGTTTGGAACTTTGTCCTTATTAGGATCATGATAAAGGCTTCTCTGAAATGGGAACACAATGACCAACACAAGAAGAATAAAGACATTAAGTACTAATTCAGGAACCAAATTATTTTCCCTGGATCAGCTTAAAAAAATTTTAAGCCTTAGCAGAAGGACTGAAAAATCCATCGCTACCAAAACTGTTAATCACGAACAACATGTGTTCCTCCACTTTGCTCTGATATTCTCTAGGACGATGTCAAATCCACGAGCAGGGATTTTCCTTTGCTCTCCTCAGAGCCCAGAACAGGACACATGGGGAAGGCATGTAACACTGTTGTTACCACTTCATATGGGGAAGGCATGTAACACTGTTGTTACCATTTCATATGGGGAAGGCATTAACAGTGGTAGGAGCTCAGCCTGCTGGAAGGTCTGTCTTCTGAATAACATCCCTGTTCCCTCACTTCACTCATGAGCAGCCCACCAGACCACAGCAAGCAATGGACAGGCAAGTTGGTGCAGAGAGGAACTATTTTGTATAGGCATGAAAAAAATAACCTGAAATGAAATTACTCTGACATGGTCTTAATCCAGAAATGTTGAGTGAGTCCCTGCAAAAGGTTTTTTGTTCCTCTAAGTTCCTGCAAGGCTGCTGGATATAAAGGTGTGGGAGTTCCACAGATGAAAATAATGGGTTGATGTCCAAGCCAGCAGGGAGGAGAGGAGAGGAAGGGAGAATCCCAGGAAGAGACTGATCATAGGGGTTTGGCCTTTGCTCTTTCCCTTCCTCCACAGAGGTCATGTTCATCTCCCCCACTGAATCCCCACTGCACTAGACACTGTGGGTTTGTTTTTTTTTTTCCTTAGAGGGAGAGAGAGAGAAAGAGTGCAAGTTGGGGAGGGGCAGAGGGAGAAAGAGAGAGAATCTCAAGCAGGCTCCATGCCCAGTGCGGAGCCTGGAGTGAGGGTTGATCTCACGACCCTGAGATCATGACCTGAGCCAAAATCAAGAGTTGGACGCTTAGCTGACAGAGCCCCCCAGGTGCCCCATGGCACTGTGGTTTCTAACTCAAGTCTTCAAGTAGTCACTGGGTTCATTTGGATGGCCAATAGGCCACATTTCTTCCCCGCCAACCTTGCTCATGGGTAGAGACGGGGAGAGTGAGAAGATACAATGCCTATAGGAAAGCCAACAAGGGCATCTTCTGGCCCTGCGCCTTACGCCTCTCTAACATAGCTGTAGCTCTGACCACCCACTGCCACGCCTGACCCCTCCATCATCATGATGGCCTCTTCTCTACCTACAACATGGGTCACATTTGTATCTCTTGCCCAGCCCCTCCTTTACCCTCGACTTAGCTCTTTCGAGGACAGGGGCCAACAGTTGTCATTTGTCCAAACAAAGGCCTTGCTTATGGAGCTCCTGATTGTTGCAGCGGGAAGGGGCTAGCGCGCTCCCTCATGCTCTACGTGAGAAGGTTGAAGCGGTGATAGGGACACTCATCACAGGGCAGCTTGACGCAGCACAGGTCAGCTCTGCACACACCCCGGGGAAAGCTCCGTCTCGGGAATCCATCTACATGTTGTAGAGTCTCAAAGCTCAGCAATACTTGTTGATTCATGGAAGCAGGTGAGTAATTGTAGCAGAATTTACAGATTTTACCCATCCTCAGTGCTTCTCAAAGTATAGTCTTAGATCACACAGTAGTGTCTGGGATTCTCATGGAAAATGCCATTTCCTGGACCTCAAACCTACTAGAATCCGAATCTCTGGAGGGGATACCTAGGAATGTACATTTTTAACAAGTTTCCTGAAGGATTTTTAATTACCAGGAAGTTTGAGAACCACGGTTGCAGCCATATGGAGGTTCCAATACTGCAAGGATGTGAGAGTACAAAGAAATTCACATTCCGGGGGAACCGCTGAACATAAAGAAACATAAGAGTAACCATCCTGAGAGTCCCCGGTGTTTCCAAATCAACATTCCTAACATAAACTGGGACCAAAAGGCACTGACGTCGGACCAAACCATCGTAAGATTAAGACTCACACCTCTGTGCACACACGTCTGCCTTAGGAATAATGGCAGCGCTAAGCCCACAGGTCCTGCCTGAGGGGGCCTGCAGCTGTGGGGCCGCACTCACTCGTAGGGAATGCTTCTGAAGACGATGTGGTCCAGGAGGGTGATCTGCTCAGCCAGCTCCATGGCTGACAAGGTCTCAAAGCACTCAGCCTTCGGACAGTCTGTCTGCAAGAGAGGAAGGGGGGATTGACACACAATGACAGCAGGTGCCCGCAGCCACTCAAGGACAACGTCCATCAGAGATTCTAGCTATGAAGAAAATGGCAGAAAGCTCAGAAATATCAGCCAACATTAACAGCCTGGACCAACTGCTAACCCCCGAGTTGAATTTAGGTCATCGCACCGGGCTTCATTGAAAGAACTGCAGTCAAGCGCCCGGTTATCAGTTACGGGCATAATACCGCTCACCTCTGAGAAGTAGCTTGCACATAACTGTGCTGGATGAGACCAGGGCTGCACTTACCAGTTGAATTATATCCTCTAATTTTAGGTGGATGTCATCTTGATCGTCTTGTGAAAGGGCCCTAAAAAAGAAAAATCAAAATATCCTCCATGAAAAGAAAACAGACATGCCAGGAATGAAAGGACCATGTGCAGTTTGGATTTCCCTGGCTGGGAAGCGGGAGGGTTTGGGTCCACCAGGCTGTGCCTCCCACTGGAGAGGCTACAGAGACATGAGCTGGAGGTGGGAAGTTGAAGAAACAGGAAAACATGCACATTAAAGGCACAGGAGGATCATCGGGAGAGCTGGGTTATCCCAGGGAGCCAACTTGTTCCATACAAGGTGGTAAATATAACACCCACCATTCATGCGGGCCTGAGGGGGAGCTGGTGTGCTCAGGGCCCGTGAGAGGATCTGGGCCATGAGTTCGGGCATCCCGCAATACCATCAGCTGGGGATCCTAACAGGCCTGAGCACCCCATCCACATTCCTCCAGCCCCTACCCTGGCCCTGCCCTGCTGATGCTGAGGCAGAAGATGCAGGGCCACTCCCTCCTTGCACACACACAGCCCAGAAGCTCAGGGGAGTTCCTGGGGGGCAAGAATTTGAACAATGCCAGGCAGAAGCCAGCAGGTTAACTCTTCTCCCTTGATTCCCAGATGGCCTTTCCTGAGATACATTTGGTGCAATAGCCACACACACACACACACACACACACACACACACACACACACACAGCTATTCAGCTCTCAATATTTTTTTTCCAGTGATGATTGACTGAATAAATACATAAGTTAATTAATCCTGAAGTGGGTGCCGGTTTCAGAGTGGGAGTGATATTTCATGTCCAACGGAAGTTCAGAGTCCAGGAGAATGATACGGATTATATAACTTACCATCTGGGCCAAGCATTTTAAGTTTTCCAAAATGAAGGCACAATCACATTTTAAAAGTACCAAAATGTTTCAACAGTCCCAAGCCACACAACCTATCTGCTGCAGGAAGGTAGTTTTCAAAGAAATAATGACACGATGTTCCGCAGTGCTCTGAATTGATGAAAGCAAAACCACCTCCCCTCAATAAGAGGAAATCAACAGAGATGGGTTAGTGTATACCCACTACACACCAGCCATGTGTGAGCCATCTCACATACACTCTCTTGTATCATCAAAAATCCCTTCAAAGTAAGCATTCTGATCTCCATCTTACAGATGAGGAAACCAAAGCTCAAAGGAACTAACTTGCCCAGGGTTCGGTCACTTGAGCCCTCGCTTGTCTCAGGCAGGTGTATAAAGGCACCTCTTCAAGGAGCCAGCACAAAACACATCCAAAAAAGTCCAGTCTCTTCCCTCTATCTTCCTCTCTTACAAAAGCTCTTGGCTGTTTACCAGGATAAAGATTCCTTCTGGATTCAAGGAGTGACTGTCCTCTTGTTAGCAATGAACCGTATCATTTGTGAGTGGAAAGAAATATTCATCAGATGATCAAAGGCAGATTAAGGTGAGGAAAAAATAAGCAGATACAAGTTTTTCTCTAAAGACTGTTAAATCACACTTAAGGATTACACATAGGGGATAAAAGGGGCTCTTTCCAAAGCTCATGTCATTCTTTCCAGGGTAGTCTAGGTTCCTGGAGTAAGCTCAGTGGCCACATAACTATGTGTACCCAAGGAAAAGATCTTTTTTTTTTTTTTTTTTTTTTTAATGAGGCTGGGCAATAGCTTTTCCCTGGAAAGAAGTGGTCAAGAAGTTAGTTAGCTTTTATCAAATGTTCCTTTCCTCAGTCGTCTCACGCTGATGTTCCAAGATGCGTTCTCGTCTTGTTAAATTATCTAATGTTTTCTCTTTTCCCAAATGCCTGTTGATGCTTCTTGGGGCTTTGTGAGGTTTGTGGGTCACCTTTTTATGACTCGAACCCACTCCAGCTGCCCACCCATGAAGTCATTGTTTATTTGTTTGTTTTTCATTTTATGGCACGTTAGTTGTTTACCACGATTTATGTCTACATAGATTCAGAAGCCGGCTAGTCAGACAACGTTGGGGAGGAGTGGTATTTTAGAAATAGAAAAGTCTTGGGGTGCCTGGGTGGCTCAGTCATTAGGTGTCTGCCTTTGGCTCAGGTCATGATCCCAGGGTCCTGGGACTGAGCCCCGCATCGAGCCCCTCATCGAGCCCCTCATCGAGCCCCACATCGAGCCCCGCATCGAGCTCCGCATCGGGCTCCCTGCTCAGGAGGAAGCCTGCTTCTCCCTCTCCCACTCCCTGTCTCTCTCTGTCAAATAAATAAATAAAATCTTAAAAAAAAAAGAAATAGAAAAGTCTTGAGCAGAGGTTTTTAGTCACAAACAAGACAAAAACTATGCATGCTAATTAAATTTCTTCATCATAAACCTCCCCCTGTGAGACTGTGTGAGACAGAAATGGCTTATTATTGGAAGCTTTCAGTTTCCTGTATAAATGTAATATATGTTTAAATACATTCATGTTTATATCTCATACAGCTTGACTGCCTATACATCTCTAATGTCAAGGCTACATTTAACTACAATGTGATATGTTTTTCTCTCACACAACCACAACTTGTATTCACTGGGAGGTATGTTCACAAATTTTGCCTTAGATGGGAAGGCCCCTCTACCTCTGGCCCAGTTCCAATCGAGGATGGATGTGCTCCTAGTCTTTTGACTGCCTTTGTGCTTTGATGGACACTCCAGGATACTTGGGTTTCTCTCACATCTCCCAGCCGACATGATCAGTTAAGTATCTGTGCGTTTATAATGAAATGCCAAATAAAACATTTAAAAGGAAATGGGATTATTCAAAGTTCTGTGACGGGAAAAGTCCTCTGTCAACAGTAGAAATCAGATAGGCTTAAAAACGGAGCCAAGAGAAATTGGCCTCTGTCCGCAGACTGGTCCACACTCTCTGGGTTGCCTGCTTGCTACTGAGACCAGCTGGCATAGGCCCATGCCTATGCCTCGTCTCTGCTCCTCCTCAATTTGTGAATGGTTTAACTGCTTTTTGCTTCACTTGCTCGGACCTGCCAGACCACCTCTTCCATCCTTTGCTTTCTTGGGCATGGCTTTTCTTCCTTCCAGGCTTACTTGAGCCCATTGCTACCTATGCTCTGACATATTTTTTTAAAAAGTCAGATGTCCACAAATGCATGGAAACCTTAAGTACTAAAATCTCCTGGTTTTGGCTGGAAATAATTCCCTGTTTGCTTCCAAGTTAAGAAATAAATTAACAGAAACATCTTTGTAATTTTCCACATAATTACTATTTTATATAATTGTCATATAATTATTAAATAATCCTTTTGGTTTCTGTTTCTTTCTCATATACTCCATGATGATATTTTTTCACAAAGAGATTTCATGAATGATGACACTTCCTACTCTTTCTAATCATTCTGACATGATTTAAAAAATATAAATATATAAATGTCGTACATATAAACACAAGTATCTGTATGATAAGTTAGCAAAAACCCTGATAAATTAATGTATCATTTATTCCTCCTATAATCACAATCTTGTGTGCTGGCGCAGGGACCCTTAAACTTGGTGCAGGTGGAATGACTTGGCAGAGGGACTTCAATCAAAGATCAGGAGTTTTCTTGCACCAGGATTTTTTTTTTTTTTTTTTTGCATAAATCTGTTCACTCACTTGTTGGGAAGATAAGTTAGTGCCTCCGAGACCCAGCTGACCCAACTGGGACTCAGGGACTGGCTGTTTGCTCAGCTAATGTGCTGGTGACCCCACGGGTATCTGTCTGCTTTAGTTGATATGCTCAGGGCTAAACAAAGACTTTTGTTTGTTTTGGCCTCATGGGAAGAAAGATGGTCAGAGGTAGGAGGATGGATGACATAATATTTATTCCCTACTTGGTTCAGTGGGTGAATTTTGAATTGTTACGGTGAAAGATGTAGAACCCAGGAGCCAAAGGAGCTTATTTTCATAAGAGACCAAGACTCTGGATTGAGTGAGGCTGCTCTGGGGCCCCTGTGGCTCAGGGATGGGGCAGGTGGCATCTTTGTCAGCTTTTTGATAGGGAAATGGTGGCTTTAGAGGACTGTCAGTTAGCATTCTTGACAGAAACAACAGCGGCACTGATAAGGTCTCTCCCTCAAGCTGTGTCCAGGGCAGTGAGCTTGAATAAAGATGCTGAGGCAGAAAAATGACTGGATTTGTTCCTGAGCACACATTTCTTGGGACTTTTGGAACACTTTGGGAAGACTCTGCAAGGGATCAGAAGTGTGGATGGGCAGGTGGGAGCATCCCATCAGTAGAACTGCTTTTTTGTTTTGCTTTTTACTTTTTTTCTTTTACTAAATAGCAAGTGGGTTAGGACTATAGTTTCTTTTGTAACAACTATATTGAGATATAATTCCCATGTCAAATAATTCATCCACTTGAAGTGCACATTTGAATGATTTTTTATTGCATTCATGTCTTTGTGCAATATTAAATTGGCTTTTAATGTTATTATAATCTCTTTTGTATAGACAAGGTGATGAAGCCTAAGGAAAATTGAGTTTGACTAAGACCTACCTTGGTTTTACTTATGCCATATTGCCTTGTCGGAAGAAACTATTTTTCCTAAGAGCTACTGTCAGAGCTAATAATAATAATAATAATAAGTGTAGCAGTAAAACGAGTGCTACTTATGTTTCAGGCATGTGTTAACCTCTTTGTACATACTGTTTCATATAATCGTCACAACTCAATAGTAGATGAAAACAAAACCACGTCCCCTCAATAAGAGGAAATCAACAGAGATGGGTTAGTGTATACTCATTTTATAGTCTCATTTTATAAATGAAGGAACTTGACAGCTGTAAGTGGCTGAACCAAGATTATACCTGTGAATCCTGCAAAAGTGAGAATCAGACTCTGCTCCATGTCATGCACCCAGGTGTACCATCTACTAAAATTTCTATTTCTTATCGATCCCACACCTCTAATTCTCAGGTCATTTACTCAACAAAAAGAATCTGCACATCTTAAGCCTGATAAATAATAAGAGCCTGGAATGGTAAATAGGATACATCTTAAGGGCCAACTCCAATTAATGACATGCCAGTTAACAACGGAGTTCTGAGCTCACCCACCAGTGTTGGCAGAAACCCCTCAGGATTGATTGGTAATGTATGGTATGGGTGTTGTGAGGGGATGGGCAACATGGGCTTTCATATTTGCCAATCCTGAGAGTCTTTCCCAGTCTGAACATCCTCACTTCCCTGACAGCTGTCCAGTCAAATGTCCCTGGGGGCACAAACTTCTAGAAAGCAGTTTCAAAATATCAGCGTTTGAAATACAAACAGCATAATAAACTGTTTATATAAAGAAAAGAGGAATAGAAATCATTTACAGATACCACTCATCCAACTGAAACCAGGCTTTATCTGAAAATGTATTTATGATTTTAAAGTCTGAAAATAAACATAGTAACAGAGGCCCTAAGCTTACTTAGGTGTCTTCATAGGGTGGACAAAGTGAAGAGGGCCCTTAATAGATTCCTAGAGTTGCTCTAATAAAGTACCACAAACTAGGTGGCATAAAACAACAGAAATTTATTGTCTTAGAGTTCTGGAGGCTAGAAGTTCAAGATCAAGGTGTCAGCAGGGCCATGTTCCCTCTGAAACCTGTGGAGGAATCCTCCCTTGTGTCTTTCTAACTTTCAGTGGTTTGCAAGCAGATGGTATTCCTTGCCTTGCAGCTGCCTCACCCCAGTCTCCGCTCCATCTTCCCATGACATTCTCTGTGTCTCTCTCTGTCTTCCCATATGGCCATCTTCTCGTAAGGACACCAGTTATATTGGATTAGGGGCCCATGCTACTCCAGTATGACCTCATCTTAATTAATTACATCTGTAATGACCCTATTTCTAAAACAGAATCACATTTTGAGGTACTCAGGGATAGAATGTCAACCTATCTGTTTTGGGGCAGACACATTCCACCTGCAAGAGCCCCTAGACCAAAGAAGGTCCGGTGATGGGATCCTGAATCACTTTTGAGCCAATTGTTAAGATGCTAGACCAAAATCTGGCATCGCTGCATTAGAGAGTGACTTCCAGAAACATGGTAGACTGAGCTACGGTGGACTCCCCTCTATACAGAATTCCGGGTAACAAAGAAACAATATAGTCAAGGTTAGAAGAAAGAAAGGACTCTTTTCAGAGATTATAAATGAAGATGGAACTAGAAGCCAGATGGTAAAGGGCTACCAGGTCAAGCAGATGGATGCTGGGCCTCCCATCCCTAAGTAGGGATGGCCATGAGTTGGGAGGAAACTGTAACTGAAATGTCTAGTCCTCCCGTAAAGCGGACTAGAAAAACATCCACCCATGAGTTCAAGAAGCTATAGGAAAGCTTATTACCTGCTGGGATGCTGGGTGTAATGACAGGTACAAACAGTCTCTCGTGGGAAACCCAAAGTTCAAGCTTTGATCACACCTGTGAGCTTTTATACAACCTACATGATGTGGGAAGCCCAACGTGAGAAGTTGTCAGTAAAACTGGTCTAGGACCGGTGAAGCAAGGCGGAGAAAACACGTACCTCCTAGGAGGTGGTACATCCACAAACCAGGGGCACGGGACTTGTGCAGAAATGCTCATAAACACGAGCTTATGGTCAACAACTAGAACCAAGGGCAGGAAACCACCTCTCTCTGCAGTACCCGCTGGGGATGCAGGAGAGGATCCTCAAGGCACCCCCCCCTTTTCACTTGTGGTTCTGCAGGAAGCCACTGTCTGCCCATATGGACAGGAGAAACTGCACTCCTGCATGCCACGCAAGTTACGTCGCCCAGGCCAAGTCCTCCTGAGGCTGCAGATGCCAACCTGCCCCCCAGAAAAGAGAAGATGATACGTCACTCTTTGTGGTGACAGCAGTCTCCTTGCTGCCCCCAGGAGTCTAATAGGATCTTATTTTCTAGAATATCACACGAATCAACCAGTGTCATTAGGAGGCCCCGGCAACTGCATTTTACCTCAGGATATTCGCCGTGGCTTTCCTTTCCTGGGGAAGAAGGTCTGGGTCTCGCAAAACTTCTTCTAGCAAATTGAGGACATTCATCTTTAGTTCGTTGTTGAGTTCAAAATCCTATAAAATAAAATGCATCTTGTAAAATTTTAGTTGCGAAGGTTTTAGCTCCATGATACATGACACCATTTCTCATGATAAAATCCCTAGAAGCTATGTATGCAAATTAAAATATATGGACCCTAGGATTGCTCTCCCCACCAGAAATCCTGAGTTCATTGTTTTGGGATGGGGTCCTATTGTTGGTGTTTCTGACAGGCCCCCAGGGGGCTGGGAAAATTCCTCAAAGGTATAAAAGCTTCCCTCAGCCTGAACCACTGTGCCTCCTCCCCACGTTTACTTCTACTCATCTTTCACGTCTAGGAGGTGATAAACTTTCTCCCAGGAGCTTCTTTATTAAATCCAATGGGATAAAGGGCTTTGCTTTGATGCTCCCATGGTACCCCCTACCATAACCTGCTATATTGTGAAGGCTGAAATAATGGTCTGGTTTCCCACTGGACCATGTAAGTGGTACTGAACCGAGATCAGTAACTGGGGCATTGCAATAGCTCAAAAAAAGATCTTTTGCAAGAATAAAACCTGTCATTTGGGCAGTGACTTGAACTAAGAACTTCAATACAGGTATGTTAAGGGCTAAAGAATAAATGACATTCACAGACTGATGGGGGCATCAAGCAAGCCCAGGAGTGAGATTGAAGGGGCGCCCACTGGGCAAAGCTGGGGCAAGATGACCATCAAAATGAATCATGAGAGTGATAAGTAATAACCAACTGAATCAACACAACCTGTAAATCCCTACTGATCCTCACAAAGACATAAAGAGATAAATACAGAAAGAGGGGAAGAGAAACTTTTCTTTATAGAATTCCAACTAATAAATGCAAAGAAATAAAAGAGTTAGAAAAATCACCACTTTGCCCAAAGCAGTAATAACTGATCAGGCAACTGAGCAGATGCTGAAATTTTTTGGGAATCAGAATTAATAGTGTCAGAGTCCCCTCCCGCCCCTGCCAGAAATGATTTGTTAATTACAAAGAGAGACTCTGGCAGACGTCACCTTAATAAAGTGATCCGTTACCATCACCAATAACGGACCAAGCGCACATCAGGTACCTACTAATGTGATGCTCTGTGAAAATCATCAGTTATTTTTTTCCCCAAAATGCACCATCTTACATTTGCATTGTGAAGAAGCATTGTGCTCTTCAAAAATGCTAATGCATTGGAAGACAAAGAAAAACTGGAACAGTTCCAGTTTAAAGGACACCGAAGGAACCACAAGGATGCAACATGTGAATCTGGATTAGATCCGGGATCGAGGGGAAAACACGAAAAAGGCATCACTGGGACAACTGGCAAAAGTCGAGTCAGGACTATGCACTAGTTGGGAATGTTATTAATGTTAAATTGGCCTGAATTTGATCATTTTACTGAGGCTGTTTAAGAGCAGGTCCTTGTTTGGGAGGGCAGGGAGGAGGTAGAAAGAGAGAGAGAGAAAGAACACAAATGCGGTGAGCACGTTAAGTATTACGAGTGACCGTAGATGGGTATCAGTGTTCTTTGTCTTTTCTGGCATCTTACTCTTGATTTGAAATTTTTAAAGGTAAAAAGTCTGAAAAAGAAGTAAAAAGGTAACATCATGTCCCTTGCACTCTTTTATTAAATTCATTCTCATGATACACCACCAGGCAGCATGCTGGGATGGTCAGGTTTTCAGAGATGAACTGCATGGTGCTAAGTCCTGCTTTCAAGGTCCTTACTCTGACAGACTATCTTTCTATGTGCAAGCGTGAACGTGTATTTTCCCTCCTACATAAAGTGACGCCTTATAACTACATTTTAACTTTAAGGAAAATAATTTTGAAGCATTGACATTCTGAATTCCTTTAAATGATTAGAGAAAATATTGCTAATTAGAATGAATCCAGTAAAAAAAAAACAAAACAGCACACATTTCCTATTTTAGTAAATTAGGGGCAAAAAGGTCCATAATTTCACAAATTGCAGACAATGTGACAGTCTGCCCTAATTTGAGTTGGATATTCTTGTGTCTCAGTTTGGTGGAGAACTGTGTAACAAATTTTTCTCAATATTTCGCTTTTACTGCTTGACAATCAGTACCATTTCTTTGGAACAGCGGGTGGGGAGTCTGCTTCTCCCTCTCCCCCTAACCCCTGCTCGTGCGCTCTCTCAAATAAATAAATAAAATCTTTTTAAAAATGTATGCAAGGAAAAGAGAGTAATATCTTCTTACTGTTTATTTGTCCAACCCCTTCCCCATTTCAAGGTGAAGGGAATATTTGTAAACAGCTAATAACCTCACTAACTTCAATCCCTGAGCACTACCAAAGGATTTCTCAGCCATCAGGAGTCTGTTTCCTTAATGAATATTGGTATTTATTGGTGAGATGATAGAGTCCTCCTGTAACTGTGTCAGTCTCTAATGATACCCATCATCTGATGATAAGTGGTTTAGTGTGAAGGACATCAAGCCAGTGTTTGGACCTTGCTGAGGGATAATTAGCAGTTTCATCAACAAGCTCCATTGAGTACCTACTGTGCCCCATCCTGGGCTCAACAGGGGAAACAGTTCTGAGACCCCAGGAAAGCAAGATGTGTGAAAGGTCTTGTTAAGGAAAATAAAACGTCATTTTATTATTCTGAGCTCTGAGAGAGACCTTTGAAAACTCGGTGGAATCTGACCAGACAGTATTTGAGGCATGATGAAAGTTACAGGTGAGCATTTGCTCTGCTGATGATGTAGCTGAGGTAAAGCACATTACCCAATGATGGCTGAGTACAAAGTGTAAGAATTCTCACGCATAGTTTCCCTGACATCTGCACAGGTTTTTCCCACGTTCAGAGTGACATGCTGTGCATGATTTCAGTTGTCCCTTGGCTGATCCAGGAGCAGACAAGGCAGGAACCTATGATCTTGGGTCACACATGGGCCACTGAGGCTGAAAGGATGTGATCATAAGGAAGGAGGTACCACCGAGCAGACAAAAACACAGGTCGTCCATTTGACTCTGGTAACCTGTGCTCCTGTCTGATAGTATGCCCACGAATCACTGCATTTTCTTTTTTTAAAGATTTTATTTACTTGAGAGAGAGAGAAAGCACAGAAAGAGAGTGAGAGGGAGAAGCAGACTCCCTGTTGAGCAGAGAGCCCGACGTAGGGCTCGATCCCAGGACCCTGAGATCATGACCTGAGCCAAAGGCAGACGCTCAACCAGCTGAGCCACCCAGGCGCCCCTTACCACAGATTCTAATGTGGTAGATCTGGAACAGGGATACTTTTCTAATGAGCTCCTGGGCGATGCTAATTACACTTTCAGTAGCAAGACTTTGCCATTGTTTATTTTTTTAAATTCATGCAAAAAACAACTCCTCAAAAACTGACTAAAAAAAAAATTCTGAATCCTCTGATGTACTACGTAGAATGTAAAATTTTCTTTTTACCAATGCATGTAAAATGCAGAATTGGCCATTTGAAAGTCCCTATTCAAAACGTAGTAGCTACTACTTCAATAGAAATCTGGAGCAGCTAAAAGGCACTTGCCCTATTTAAATCCAGAGGTAGATTATTCATAATAAGTCTGCCTGACAGCCATTTTTAAATTATCTGGAATCTAATTTTTGGTCGCATTTCCCCAGGCCCTGAAATGAGAAATGAGAATCCTCCGTGGGGGAAGAACACCGGCTCCTTCTCGGAGTCAGCAATCGGGGCGCCCACGAGATGGCGCTCCTGGGTCGTCCGGCTCTGCAGGAGTCCGCACCGCCTTTCTCCTCGGAGCTGGCGGGGGGCCCGGCACAGCGAGCAGGGCCCTGCGCGGGGAAGCTGCCTGCTGTCGAGTATCTCATGCCCCAGATCAGCGAGCCGTGCGCGTCCAACAGGACCTGACGCAGTCACCCAAGCCATCCCAGCAACAGCTTATGTAGGTTAGTTTTTGTTTCCCAGTGTTTGAAGCGGAGATGAGGAGACAGAAGATCAGAAAGAAGAAACCACCCTGCTTCCAAAGGTGCAGAGCCCGGAAAATGGGAGACTTTTACATTTCGGTCTCTAAAGAGGAGACGATAGTTCTTAGTCCTTCAACAGTTCCTGAGCACCTCAGTTTATGACTTGGGGGTGGGTGGGAAGGCAGGGCAGAGGACAGCAGAGTGGGCGATGGGCAGATGAAGGAAACATTATTAACCAACCCCCGGAGCCCCGGGGAGAGGGGTCTGCAGCGGGGAGCGCGGCGGCCCTGCCCCGCCGAGTCGGAGGAGAGGTTGTGGGCCTGCAAATGCAGCTCCGGGAACCCCTGCAAAGAGGGGTAGCTCACGCGGACTATCGGGGAACAAAGCAAATGCTTAGGGACGAGGGTTTACCAGCCAATGATGTTAGATCCTCCTCAAGTGATAAGCTCTGCCGAGAGAAGTTTATTTTACCAAGATTTTGACTCTGCTCCGACACATTCATAAGCGATTAAAAGTCAGTATTTCCCCCAGGTTAGTGAGCAACTCCTGGGGTCATTATCGTAACTAAGACTTGGTGAGAGTTCACCACATACTAGATGATATTTTAATCACTTTATGATCTAATTTAACAGTTACAATCATTATTATTCCCATTTTACAGACAAGGAAGTCGAGGTAAAGAGAATCGAAGTATCTTGTTCAAAGTCACACAGAGAGCAAGTGGCAGACTCAGGACGCCACCTTGGCGGTGTCGGCGGAAAACCTGAGTTTCTAACTGCTAACACCACAGACTGTCCAAAAACAGTGGCTATCAGTGATTCAGTGCTGGTAGCGTGGGCTGAAAGACATTATCAGACAGCTGGTTGTTGCCCTACTGACTCTGGAGCTATTTCCCACCCATACTAACACCCATCTGAGATAGAGATCTTGAAACTCAGGTTTGTATTAATAAGACTAGATCATACAACAGAAAAATAATGTGTGACGCAATTATTCAGATTCTCCAGCCTGCTGACACTAAATCCCCAGCTGAGGCATGCAGGCAATTATATTCATTTTTTCGGGAGAGCAAGGTACTAATTAGTAATACGCTATGC